TTCATTCATAGCATTTGATCTACCAGGTTCATTAGATTGAATCTTTATGTCGGTTGTTGTTAAACTTGATACTCCCAAACTTTTAGCTTTTTTTTCGAAATGTTGAATTGCTGATAAAAGAACATTTAATTCAGCTGAATAATTAAAGAAAATTAATAAAGATTCTTGCAATTGAAAAAACATTTGAGCATAAAAGATATTTATTACCTGAGACAGAACCAATCGGATATGGATAAGAAAATGAGTTATCTCTAGAAATGAAATTTTATTTTTTTTTAAAAAAAAAAGTATTTCTAATGAAATATATATTCGTTAAAAACTAAAACTCACATCTTGTGAAAAATTTCTACTGCACACTTCTGTATATTATCCAATTCTATATCCAAATCATTTAAAGATTTGTCATACTCTTCAACATTTTGTATTTTATTAGCCATTTATATTTGTGTTTTTATCGTAGAGTAGAACCAAGATTTCTCGGTCAGGAATATCCCGATGATTTGATGATCTTCAATTCGCGTGTCACAATCCAAAATTTTGTCGATCATCTGAAATTATTGAAAATTTTATTATAAAAATTTAACGTTAAAGGTAGGTAAAAACCATTCTGTATGATCAAAGTCACTTCTTATAAAATCTCTCCATATGATCTAACAATTCATACCTTCTGGATCTTGAATTATAGAAGATTACTGAATTGGTTTTTATCTAACATAAATTTATTCCAAATATCGCTTATCGTATCACGTTAACCAAGTATAATTTAATTAAAGGATACTTTGCCATTGTGCACGTATTTTGACCGATCGAGACGATCAACGTGTGAAAACACTGTCTTTTTTGTTCGTCCGCGAAATACTTATTTAGGTAATTTTAGTATATGATCTGTGTATCTCATTAATCATAATTTAACCAATCAGTATCTTCTATGTAATCTTCCATTGATGAAATTTCGCTTTCCGATACAAAATTCTTAAATGTTATTTCTTGCAATTTTAAGTGTATTGCCTGCGAATCCAAAATCTCTATGACTTTTCCTAATGATTTCTGCACGATTTAAAATTATAAATCCATTCCAATTAACATTCATCAAATATAATTAACTTATTTTCTGGATTAGCCATTATATCTTCTTTTTACGCCAAAAATGTTGTGTTCGAGAATAAGGGCATGAAGGGTGTGCATTGAAAATCTCGACTTTAGAAAGGTGTTGGGGGTAATGCATATATAGATTTCTCATCCATCTACTTAATACTATGACCTGGCAATGTTATATAATGTATTTCAGTCGGAATGTGTAAACCTCATATAGTAGAAATAGTCTGTCTCTCAAACTGAGAATAAAGACAATGAGTACGATATGAACCCGTTGTATATATGGGTATGATGATAAGTTACCTTATTTCTATATTAAAAAATATCTGAATGTTGACCATTTCTTTGAGTCAATCATTAAAAAATTATATCGTATATTATGACGCAATTATCCTTTGTGAGTTTGGCACACCGTAACTGGTGATAACCTGAGGTATCGAATTATAAAGACCGAAATTTTACTGCGCCTATACACCAGCCTATGTAGAGGTATAAAGAATTTTGTTTACAATAATTCGGGCTTTATATTTTAACCATGTGTATGTGGAATCAGAAGAATTGTGTACAGACATCTTGCAATAAAAAGCATTGAAATTACAATGGCGAATTAAATATTGTCCAAGTTGTGAAAAGAAAATAAATGGTCGATAAAACAACATTAAACATTTTTATTCGCACTTACTCAGCAAGCACAAGATAAAATGAACTATAAATGCTTTAAACAAGACAAAGTTCATAATCATTCGAATGTATAATTGTGTATTTGAACATAAAATACATAAAATACCCTAATTAACTCTAAAATTGGTGGACGTAGTTTTCGCAGATAGGTTAAATTAAATAAAAAAATTCAATTTTTTTTAAGAAATCACCAAAGAGTTTAAACCTTGATCTCTTTATAGGAGATAATCTGATATTTCAAAACCAACTTAGTATGGTTAGGCTTCGCCGCATATACGGTAAACAATGCAAACAATGCGGAAGTCTGGTAACTGATAATTTATCTGCATTTTAAGATAGAAGCCGTATGTTGATATCCATATATCTGAGCCATTTTTGCAGTAGCGTTCAATAATGTTTGCAGATTCTTTATTATTTTTGATCGAAAGGACTGACAGAAACCTGGGTGAAAATGTGTCCAATCATAAAATAACGTGCGTATCCACGGACTAGGGAGGGTTGGGAATGGATCGGATCTATTGAACTTCAATAGCTAAATGAATGATCTATTGGCCAACATGTAAAATAATTTATTATTGCAAAAAAAATTGCAAAAAATAAATTCAAATGCAAGTAGAATTACTTGACTTTAAAAGCTTATATAACTCATCAACCATGAATGATGAGACGCAAACATGAAAATAGACCGGACTGAACTAAACTGTCCATGTCCAAGATTTTTATATGTGGGACTTTTTGTCTGTATAAATGCTGACCACATCTCTTGTTAATTCTAGCCAAAAAATATCTAATATCAATTCATATCCTAACTGTCCTGCAGATACAGTCCCAAATATAAACTTTCAGATGTCCTATATCTGCCAAAAATCACTGGAATAACATCTATTTCAGGGCAATTACCAGCATTTGATAATTTTTGGTTTTTGTGAATTGTATCTAAATATAACGCTGAATCATATATGACCTTTACCATAGCATATTTCATAAGAGCACAAGAAAGTGAAGAAAGTTTTACTGAGAGAGAATAATTATTAAAATATTTATTAAGAAGGATTATTACCACAATTAGATATAAAAATAATTTATTAAAGAAGCCATTCGAAGAAATCGCAAATAATATATACCAAATTTGGACACAAACTAAACAATTTTAATCTTAGAAAATTGAAAGTATTAGTAGTGGTAGCCCAATAATTAGTGTTAGCACTAAAGATGGGAACTGTAATTAATATGTTGCAACATTTTGTAAATTTGAAATCAATTGCTGTACCATCTTTAATTAGCACAGATATAAACTCAGCAGAAATGACAACCGAAAATCAGAATAATACTCTAATAGTACCAGCCAGAGAAAGCAATGAAAGTCCTTCAAACATAACACTACTGACCATAATGGATCAACTATTGACAAGAGCAATGACACCTGTGATAACTAGTAATCCATTTTCTTCTAGTATTCAATTCCAATATGATGAGAAAGAAGAAAAAGAAACTTATAGGCAGCAGGATAGAAGATTTGGATATTTGAATGAGAATAATATGCAAGGAACCTCCTTCTTCAATAATGCAAATGTAATTGAAAGAGAAGTAATGTCAGCTCGGATAATATGACGAGTATTATTTAACTCAAATACAAGTAAAAGGTTTAACATCTCCACAAAGTCAAATAATCAAATTGCTATTGTCTTGGACTCAGGAACTCAATCAGCCTCAACGGGAACTAATACAAGTAACAACCTACCAAAATAACAAACTTCTATTAGCAGTATATTTGACCTATCTAATCTTAGTAATCTACCTCTATACAGTTTAAATCTATCTACGAATCCTAATTCTACATCTTGGCAACTACACTTATATATCCAAAATGATATAAGAAACAATTCTAGTAGTAGGCAAGGTTCAACAAATACAGCTCAAACCACTTATATAGCCCAATCATTTATCACACGAACTACTCAAAATAATAGTAATATTCTTCTACTAATAACTCAACTACTCCCATTTGTATGGCTTCGACCAGTACAAGCAGCGTCGCAACTACCTCCATTTATATGGTCTTTAACCAGTATAATTAACACCACAATAACCTCTGTTTGTATGATCACAATTAGCACAACTAACACCATAACTACCTGTGGTACCAGCAGCAGATAATGCATATATATCTACAAGTTATATAATAACTAGCAGGATGGCTACAAAAATAGCAAATTAGAAAATAATGTCTAGTAGATTTACCAATGTTTAGAGAAGAAAATCAAAACCCAGTGAAATGGCTTAAAACTTTTAAATAAGCATGTAAAACGAATAGGATCAGCACTGCTAGGATTGTAAAGATAGTCTCTAGCCACTTGATGGAAACAGCACTAACATTTCAATGATAAAATATTACCTATTAGAACAGTAAGATAAATCCAGAAACTTCATTCGTGCTATTATTCCAACAATATTTCTGCAACGCTTTCAAGCAGAATCAATAAAAGCATCAACTGAGACATCAAAAACAAAAAGCAAAAGAAACAATTGAGAAATATGTAGCAGCTATGGGAGAACTATGAAAAAGAGTTGACCCACAATATCAACATGTTGAAATCACTAGTCGAAATAATTTTTTTTTATTTTTTTTTAAATTGTTAATGATGCAGTCTAATTGCAGTACTTTATTTTGTATTAAAAATTTAAAGACAAAACCTAAAAAAATACTAAAATACGCAACTTACCCTCTGTGATTCTATTTTAAACTCGTTTGAGTCAATTGATCACCGCCATCACCTGAAGTGGGTGGAAATAAAGTGTCAGAAAGCATCTAATTCCTAAATGTCTGTTGAACCCTAACTTCCTTCAAAAGAAAATTCTAACACTAAAAACAACACCCAAAGTAGGGAATTGGTACAAATAGAAATTTACAAACAACTAAAAAATAACTTTATAAATCCTAGCTAAAGTCCAGTCAATTCTAGCTTAAAGTGACTATCCAGCAGAAGAAGGTGCGTCCAAGTAACTAAGTCCAAACAAAGGCTCTTCATACTTATAGATTCATAAGTACAGAAAAAATATCACGAGGAATCCACTACAAAATTAAACTTCATTTACAGAAGGTCAGCAAGGAAGGATCTAAGAGTGAAATCACTTTGGATTACTACTAACTGAACTAAGCTAGCCAGCTAAGGCAAGGAAAGAATCAACAGTTTTTCAGACGTCAATCAAACCAAGGAATTAGGATCGTTCTGAAAGCAAGCTTCACCATACCATGAAGAATAATAGCGCTAAATTTACATATGATCTTTGATAATAGAAGATCTGCAGAAAGGCAGAGGCCAATTAAAAGAGAATATATTGTTTAGAAAGGGAAAGGGAATCATCATGTGAGATTTGTTTATTCAAAGTATATTAATCATGATCATTGGTTCAAATACCCCTTAATGTCTACTTTTTGTAGGCAAAAAAGAAAAAGAGAAAAAAACGGAAAATTATTTCGAAAAAAGGTGAAGAAAAAATATTTTAACAAAAAACAACACAGTTTAGACTAAGGTTACTGGACGAAATCAAGAGTTTAGACAGATGTCTAAATAGTAAAAGTAAAATTTAGTTAAATTATATTAAAACCTTATTAAAAAATCTGCGAAATTTGGAAAAAGGTAAAACTATATCAAAGCTT